ATACAGGATGTCGCCAGCGGGGCTCCGTACAGTAGTGATGGCACCCTTGAATCTGAAGCTTCGAGGCGTGTGTCAAACAAATGACACCCATTGCTTCGAATCACTGTGTCGGTGCTTGATTCGTTCTACAATGATCATGTGACCAATGACGTCCGAAGCTTCATTTCGGCACACAACTACGTGACTGTTTCGGGAAAACATTGAAAAGCCCGGGGAGCGCTTCTCGAGAGAGAGAGAGAGAGAGAGAGAGAGATACAGAGAGAGAGAGAGAGAGAGAGAGAGAGAGAGAGAGAGAGAGATACAGAGAAAGAGAGAGAGAGAGAAAGAGAGATACAGAGAGAGAGAGAGAGAGATACAGAGAGAGAGAGAGCGAAAGAGAGAGAGAGAGACAGATACAGAGAAAGAGAGAGAGAGAGATAGAAAGAGAGAGAGAGAGAGATTCAGAGAAAGAGAGAGATACAGAGAAAGAGAGAGAGAGAGAGAGAGAGAGAGAGAGAGAGAGAGATACAGAGAGAGGGGGGGAGAGAGGGAGATACTGAAACACAGACAAATAAATGTATTTTTAATATATTACTGTTTTCTGTAACAGAATACATTATTCATCCATCAAAGTTCTCTGCCAAACCCTGGATGTGTGTACCCAAATCAGCAATGAGATACTGAAGACGCGCAAAACAATTTAGTTTTATTGGTTTATTTTATTAAAAAAAAATACCATGGTTGTAATGCGCTCGAGCACAGTTTAAAAGCTGTAAAAACGGATGTTCGCCAGATACACAAAGCACTTTGAGGTTCTGGCCACCAGATGGTACTAATGTGCACTGTGTCATGAAGCTTCGAGTGATGAACCCTTTTTCGACACAGTTAGGAGGACAGCTTCGGAAAGCTTCGGTTTGCCATCACTAAATATCAGACAATGCATCAACCCGAAAAGGGAAAAGCAGGAGCGCGAAAAGGTGCAGGCAAATGGTCAAAATCCAAAATCAGAAACAATGCAAACAAATCTAAAGGGCAGAGTCGAGAAAACGAAAGGCAGAGATCATACACGAAATACACAACAACAGATCAACGCTCAGTAGATCACAAAGATACATTTACATAATACATTTTAAAGGAGGATATACAGAACTACACACTAATCTTGAAGCACATATGTGCTTTAACAGTTTTAATAACTCTGTTTAAAGAGGGCTGTATTACTTTATACTTACGAGTATAAAACTTTGCCATTAAAAGTATACGATTTATCATACACCGATCAGGCATAACATTATGATCCTTGTTTCTACGCTCATTGTCCATTTTATCAGCTCCACTTACTATATAGGTGCACTTTGTAGTTCTATAATTACAGACTGTAGTCCATCTGTTTCTCTGATACTTTGTTAGCCCCCTTTTACCCTGTTCTTCAGTGGTCAGAACCCCCATGGACCCTCACAGAGCAGGTACTATTTGGGTGGTGGATCATTCTCAGCACTGCAGTAACACTGACGTGATGGTGGTGTGTTAGTGTGTGCTGCGCTGGTCTGAGTGGATCAGACACAGCAGTGCTGCTGGAGTTTTTAAACACCTCAGTGTCGCTGCTGGACTGAGAATAGTCCAACAACGAAAAATATCCAGCTAACAGCGTCCTGTGGGCAGCATCCTGTGGCCACTGATAAAGGACTAGAGGATGACCAACACAAACTGTGCAGCAGCAGATGAGCTATCGTCTCTGACTTGACATCTACATGGTGGACTGACAAGGCAGGAGTGTCTAATAGAGTGGACAGTGAGTGGACGCACTGTTTAGAAACTCCAGCAGCACTGCTGTGTCTGATCCACTCGTACCAGCACAACACACAATAACACACCACCACCACGTCAGTGTTACTGCAGTGCTGAGAATGATCTACCTCCCAAATAGTACCTGCTCTGTGAGGGTCCATGGGGGTCCTGACCACTGAAGAACTTTCAGAATAAGAGTCCCTGTAAAAGAAGAAATTTGCATAACAAATGAAAAAAAACAGCCTGAAATCAACATGTAAACTGTTCTCAAACAGAACAGACATGCCTGACGCCACAATATTAATAGTTAATATTAATATTAATCATACGATGCTCCTGAGAAACACAAACTCCTTATACTGTTCTCCTTGTGTTTATATATATATATATATATATATATATATATATATATATATATATATATATATATATATATATATATATGTATGTATGTAAGTACACAATTTAACAGCAAGCTAAACTCCATTCAGACGAATACATGGGAGTCAGGATATAGCCTCCAAGCTCCAGTGCTTTATTGAGCTGCACAGTCATGCAATGAGTGAATAGGAGTGAAACTATAGGAAAAAATAAGAATAACAATATACAGCATGAGTAATGCTTTAGAGCTGTAGTATGCTCAGTATTACGCAACAGTACAGGATGACTGGAGATGGCTACTGAATACAATGCTCTGCTGATTATGAAACTTACATATTATCAGCTTAACATTTAATAAAATAAGCGTTTCAAAGCTATGCAAACCGCATTGACAAATAAATCTTGAGTATAAATGGCATTAAGCTCTCATATGGTTTAACACATATAGCGACAAGGAACAGAAGCAGAGATAACAATGGGATGATGTAGGAATGAGGCTACATAGCACTTTTCAACACGAATAAGAAAAGAGAGCTAAAGTGAAACATAAATCTCAGATACTTGAAAAATATGAAACTAGTGTCTATATGATGTCTGAAACACTTACAGACCAAAAGGAAACTTAAACTAATGGTTTCTACCTAAAATTGACCTCTGGACTGGACAAAATATTTCACACTGACCTTTATACTTAATCTATTGAACAGTGCTTTTTGAATAAGAAAAAGATTATGTCCTAAAACTAGAAATAAATATTATTTAAAAAAAAATGCCATAAAAATGTAATAGAAAGCATTATATTTGACTTTCTGATACATATAGGCACAATGATGAGTAAACTGTTTGTGTTCCTTTACAATCATAGCTTTTTTCATGTTTATATGAGAAAACCTTGTAGAGAGAACCTTATAACTCCAAGCAGAAAGTGAGTTCTTAGGATTAGAAGGTTCTATCTGCATTTGACCTGTTCCAAAAAAAAAAAAACTGTTTATACTTTGATTTATACATTTAGAATAGAAACATTTAGGGCGTCTGTCATTTTCATGTATTGAAGAGACGTGCCCCACATATCAGTTTTGCTACTTGGAATGCAAAATCTTTGAAGCTCAATATCTCAAAACTGCTCATTACACAGGTAGAACCTTATAATTCCAAGGGGACGAATTGCCCTGGTACCAAACACAGACGCTTTAGGGTGCTTTTTATAGACACCAGGCACATTGGCTGAACCAGAAGCCTAAAACTTGAGCACAGCCCAGTGCCCTAAGACAGGCATCACAGGCCCTAGCATGCTCCTTCAACTCAAGGTCAGTTAATTAGTGCATGTCAAGGTAGTCACTTCATTAGACATAAACAGGTTTGGATCTGTGGCAGCAATTTTCGGGTGTGCAGCCCTGCAGTAAAGTGAGGGGCAAAAGCCAGTACTGAACCAGTAGCAGGTGTTTAAAAAAAAAAAAAAAGTGTTATTCTACTAAAATGGTATGGTAGGGGGTCCCGCAGCAGGAGTGGCAACAGTAGAGGAGTCTCAGCCCAGTAATAGAGCCATACCTAAATACTATTTGATCCAGTTTCAAGCTTTTGTTCTACTGAGGTAATAATTTAGAGAACATTCAGCTGGAAGTCAAGAACAGCTCCCTGTGGCGAAGCCAGCTGTTGTGGCTACTGTTGAGCTGAGGGGTAGTTTAAGATTAAGATTAAGTAACCCTTATTAGTCCCACAACAGGGAAATTTCACCTCCGCATTTAACCCATCCGTGAAGTGAAACACCACATACACACTAGTGAGCACACACACACTAGGGGGCAGTGAGCACACTTGCCCAGAGCGGTGGGCAACCCTATCTGCAGCATCTGGGGAGCAGTTGGGGGTTAGGTGCCTTGCTCAAGGACACCTCGGTCATGTACTGTTGGTACTGGGGATCGAACCGGCGACCTTCCGGTCACAGGGCCGGTTCCCTAACCTCCAGCCCATAGTTGTTGGGTTCCAAGCACCAATGCAGGAACTAGAGGAGACTGGCCACATTGGTCAGTAGGGAAGAAATAACTACAGGGTCTATACACACTCCATTTTGACCAGTCTTTGCATTCATCTATTTAGGCCAACAGCCACACTGAAGGTGTAATAAAGGCTTTACAGATGCTTCACTGAATGGATGCACACATTCTGTCTCAGTGCCATTTTTAAATTTCTTTTTAAACCTCATGTCTGACACCAACAGACTAAGAGCAAAACTGAAATCTTTAATTAAGCCCTGCCCTCTCCTGCAAATTAGCATTCTTGAACTCGCCTGTCTGAACAGCTTCAAAGTGTTCCCAAGGGAATAAGCACAAAGCCAAAACACACCATAGTTTATAAAAGTGAGCCAAAACAAAGTTTCCCCTATTCCAATACAACCATTTTCAGTACGGTACATAGAATTAGAAGGGAGAATAATTTGCCTTGACGAACAATAGAGACAGATCAATGGTGAGCATTTATTTAATATAAAAAACAAAACATCTGCATGAACAACTTACAAATGGCTACACATAAATGTTAAAGTACACAGTACAGAAAAGAATAAGGGGAATTTCAGACTGGCTTGTGATATAAGAACAGCTAGAACAAACAGAGGTGCTTCACAAAATTTTCATAAAGCATTAACTGATTGCTTTGATTGTTAAATCTGTACTGCTTTGAAAACCGAAAGATCAGCCATTAATTAATTTAAGGGAAAAAAATGCCAATATTGCTGTTCCAGTATTCAACATGACAAGCCAAAATGAGGTCACATGACAATAACTATAAAACTGTCCCATAATTGCACTTATCCATTCATTCATCCTCTTCATGCCAAAGTAGAACCAAATCTAAAGTAGCTCATCTTCTCCTCCCCCGTACATGTCAGCAAGCTTCTTGAAGCGTGGGCCCCACTTGCTCAGGCAGTCGTAGTCCTGGTCCCCAGAGCTGGAGGAGTCCAGGGAGCTGAGAGAGCCAGCGTCTGATCCATCCCCCTCAGTGTCAAACACCAGCAGGGAGTCGTAGGGGGGAGCCGTGGGGTCGTTGTCTGCCGCCTTCAGATTCTATAGTACATGTATGTAAATGTAAGTGCTACGTATACATTCATTTCACTATTAGCTAAATCTGCATTTTTTAGTTCTGAAAAAAGCGTCATGAATTTCTAAATATTACACACAAGAAATCAACCTTTTTTAATTGAAATGTATTACAATTGTGAAATATGCTTAAATTTCAGTATTTCAACAGAGAGAGGGGTAAAATGAAAAAAATGCAGCTTGTTTCACCACTTACGTCATCAACAAAAGTGCCAATCTCCTCAGGGTTGGCGGGACGAGGCCGGTACTGGGGTGCAGACATACAGGTTGGAGCCACGTCATCACGGAACACACCGGGACAGTTGTCGAGGCCCCTGTACAGCACACTCAAGTCATAGTTCTGTGCAAATGAAAAGCCATTATAAGAACATGATGGGGACCAATCATGGACGAACAACAAAACAAAAACAAACATCCAATGAGCCAACCTGATCATCCTCTCCACCACCCTCTTCATCATAGTAGTAGACATTGTCCCTGACAACGTCATCAGGAAGCAGAGGCTCTTTTTTCACTGTCCTCTTCCTCCTTACAAACAGGAGCAGCAGGAGGAGCAGCACTGCATGGAGAAGCACATTACACACCAAAATCAAGAGAAAATCCAAACTCCTTAAAAGTTTATATTACAACACACACAATGTCACTGTCAGTGTCACTGCACTACTATGTCTGCATGTATGCATGTATGTACACACACCCAGCCACTAAGTTCACCTCCTTGTATCTGTACTCTGTCCATTATATCAGCTACACTTACCATATTAGTACACCTTGTAGTTCTACAATTACAGACTGTAGTCCATCTGTTTCTCTGCATACATTGTTAGCCCCCTTATTCAATGGTCAGGACCCTCACAGAGCAGGTATTATTAGGGTGGTGGGTCATTCTCAGCACCGCAGAGACACTGACATGTCTTAGTGTGTGTTGCGCATGTTTTGTTATACACATGTTTATTTCCTTTGTGTGTATTGGAACAACACAAAAAACAGAGAAAAAAAAGCCAAAAATTATATAATTTCACGCAAAACTCCAAAAATGGGCCGGACAAAATTATTGGCTCCTTTTCAAAATTGTGGGTAAATAACTTTGTTTCAAGCATGTTTAAACTCACCTGTGGCAAGTAACGAGTGTGGGCAATATAAAAATCACACCTGAAACCAGACAAAAAGGAGAGAAGTTGACTCAATCTTTGCATTGTGTGTCTGTGTGTGCCACACTAAGCATGGAGAACAGAAAGAGCACTTCAGAACCAAAATTGTGGAAAAATATCAACAATCTTTAGGTTACAAGTCCATCTCCAGAGATCTTGATGTTCCTTTGTCCACAGTGCGCAACACAATTAAGAAGTTTACAACCCATGGCACTGTAGCTAATCTCCCTGGACGTGGACGGAAGAGAAAAATTGATGAAAGGTTGCAACGCAGGATAGTCCAGATGGTGGATAAGCAGCCCCAATCAAGTTCCAAAGAAATTCAAGCTGTCCTGTAGACTCAGGGTGCATCAGTGTCAGCGCGAACTATCCGTCGACATTTGAATGAAATGAAACGCTATGGCAGGAGACCCAGGAGGACCCCACTGCTGACACAGAGACATAAAAAAGCTAGACTGCAGTTTGCCAAAATGTACGTGAGTAAGCCAAAATCCTTCTGGGAAAACGTCTTGTGGACAGATGAGACCAAGATAGAGCTTTTTGGTAAAGCACATCATTCTACTGTTTACCGAAAACGGAATGAGGCCTACAAAGAAAAGAACACAGTACCTACAGTCAAATTATGGTGGAGGTTCAAAGATGTTTTGGTCTTGTTTCGCTGCCTCTGGCACTGGGTGCCTTCACTGTGTGCATGGCATCATGAAATCTGAAGATTACCAAAGGATTTTGGGTCGCAATGTAGGGCCCAGTGTCAGAAAGCTGGGTTTGCGTCCTAGGTCATGGACCAGCAGGACAATGACCCCAAACATACTTCAAAAAGCACCCAGAAATGGGTGGAAACAAAGCGCTGGAGAGTTCTGAAGTGGCCAGCAATGAGTCTGGATCTAAATCCCATTGAACACCTGTGGAGAGATCTTAAAATTGCTGTTGGGAGAAGGCACCCTTCAAATATGAGAGACCTGGAGCAGTTTGCAACAGAAGAGTGGTCCAAAATTCCAGTTTAGAGGTGTAAGAAGCTTGTTGATGGTTATAGGAAGCAACTGATTTCAGTTATTTTTTCCAAAGGGTGTGCAACCAAATATTAAGTTGAGGGTGCCAATAATTTTGTCCAGCCTAATTTTGGAGTTTTGTGTGAAATTATATCAATTTTGGCTTTTTTTCCTCTGTTTTTTTTGTGTTGTTCCAATAAACACAGAGGAAATAAACACGTGTATAACAAATCGTGTAATTGCAATAATTTTCTGGGAGAAATACTTCATTTTCTGGAAAAATGTCAGGGGTGCCAACACTTTCGGCCATGACTATATATATATATATATAATATATTATATATATATATATATATATATATATATATTTCAAGTGGAATAGTGCATCTTACCTAGCAGAGCCAAGATAGCCCCAAGTATTCCAAGTACCCCAGACAGGCCAAAGGCTGCCACGGCCTTGTTGCTGCATTGAACGTTGTCTCCTGTGCAGTCACATACTGAAGCTTGGACGGTGTTGTCCTGGTAGAAGTTCATGGTGTCATATACCCTCATAACAACATTGTAGTCTCCCTGTTCCAGTTGAGTCTTAAGCCTTAGGAAAATTCCAGTTTCTACACAGAAGAGGGAAGAGGACACCACACACACACACACACACACACACAGTTTACGTTTTAATTTGTTTAAAATTACCATTTTATTGGTCATTTTAAACGAAAAATATCAACGGTTCTTAAAATCTGGTGGTTGAGGCTAACTAAACAATCTTGCAGTAATGTTTTACAAATATTGACAAAACTTTCTGTTCAACCTGAGTAAATAATTGTTAGTGGATACCTGAAGTGTTGCGAAAACCTGTCTCCCACTCCCCCAAAATAAGTGTCATGTGACCTTTTTCACTACATAAACCATTTCTATCGCAAAAAGGAGCGTTTTTGTGGACACGTAGCTATTGAGGCCAAAAAAATTACACTGTATTTCCAATAATAAAGGAGGGCGTACTTGTCTCATTCATCGTGGCAGTCCAGTCGTTCTTGCTGTCACCCAGGAGTTCCACTCTGTATGGAGCTGCAAAGCCAGGCCCATCGTTATCAGTCACAGACAGCAGCACTGGAGTAGACTCCTTATTGCACACTTCGATCACTCTCTCCTCAATGGAAGGAGCGTTATCATTCACATCCTTCAACTCAATCACAAGGGTTCCTGTACCAGTTGCTGGAACTGGATCTGCAATCATGTTGAAGGCTGTTAGAAGAAGCTACACCACTAAACATTTCCTTCTAATAAAGCATGAGGAAAAGGGACTACCATCATCCATGGCTACTATCAGAGTTTTGTATGTGCCATCTTGCACAAAAGGAGACTCTCTGTCCATGGGGCTCCTCACTTTGACCAGTCCAGTCTCTCCATCAACACTCAGCCAGCCAGCAGGATCAGAACCTACACGATACCTGCAAAACAAAACATGATACCAGATTACTACACCAGGGCTTATGTACCTGAGTGAAAGCGCAATGCCCAACACCACCACACAGTGTGTCCACGTAGTAACACAGAACGATATCTTACGTCACTTTCTGAGTCTTCGCTGTGTCTGGATCAGTGGCAGTGTACACTGTTAGTTCACTACCAACCGCCACATCTTCAGGTTTAGAAATGATTTTCTCCTCTGGATCAAAAACTGGAGCTTCATTCACATCCAGAACATTCACAATGACCGTGGCAGTGGAAGTGGTCAGAGGTTTGGCAAACGGAATATCATTCTCTGCAACCACCAAGAGAGTGTATTTGTTATTGTGCTCAAAATCCAATGGCTGAAAAGACAACACAGAGCAAAAGTCAGTGAATACAAGAACTGAGACCCCCACAGCCACATGAAATGTGAAAAGAAACAGGGGACTGTGCTACCTTAACAGTAGTGATGATGCCCTCCTGTTTGTTTGGTCCTGTGCTAACATTGAAAAATCCACCATTGTTGCCACTAACGATCCTGAACTTGGCTGTCCAGGCAGGAGACTGAGGGTCATCTCCATCAGTCACTGGCATCTTCACCACCACAGCTCCTACTTTATTCTCTGGGACAGACACGTTGTACTGAAAGACAAATGCTTTTGTTAATACTACAATAAAAGTAACCACATTTCCTGGTTTGAACACACATGAACAGTAAATCAGATTTAATGCACTACAGTTACAACAACTAAATCAACGTAATTGATCATTTTTGGAAACAAATCCTAATTAGGGGCTTGAAGTTTTAGATCCCCTTTTTATGTGATTTATTAAAAAGAGGGAAAATACAAATTGAGTGAAAAAGGTAAAAAATAAGATGTATTTAATCCAAAAAAGTTGGATCCTGGGAAAATTCATGAAACTGAGCTTATCTGGCACAAGAGCACAACTGTGTGTGAGCATCTCAGATAAAACACTGCATCCACAGCAGAAGCTCATCATAGTAACTAAGACAAATAAAACCTTATTAAAAATCTATAATACTGTGTCACTGCTTTTCAGCATGTTTTAACTTAGTGAATAAGAAAATACTGGCTAAAAGGATCAGCTGTATTTTAGAATCGTTTGGTTAATTTGTATGTTTCTGTTATAATTTGAAAACAGCGTTTTTACCCACTTTGGGTTTTTGGTTTGCCATCCAAACAAAAACAGATTAAGTCACTGAAAACATCAGGTTTTATTACAGTATTACTAAGCTTTGCTTTATTATTAGATGGAAATTAATGTTTTTTGGCTTCACAATGATTAAAATGGCATTTTTGAAAGTAATGCAAAAGATCTGTTTCTCTTATTAAAACCCCTTTTCTCTATTAATACGTAGAAATATGAGATAAGAAATACGATTTTATATTTGAAAGAGCGCAGAAGTTGAAATAATGCTTGTATTTGTTTAAACAAAACTGATTTAATGTTAAATATTCATTGTTAATGATGACAACTTTCTTATTGGTTAATTGAAATCCCAATGGGCTGATTAACAGATTATGGAAATATTCTTTACTTGCAGCTCAGATCAATAACCAGATCAATAACCTGGTTAATATTTCAGGATTAAACACATTTAAAAAAAAGCATTCAGATCAGTTTACTGTAAATCATACTCTCTGTAAGCCATGGTGTTTCATAACTGCCTTACCGAGGTCTTTTCAAACTGGGGTGCATTGTCGTTGCTGTCCGTTACAGTAATAACAGCTGTTCCAGTGCCTACACGACCTTCACCCTGCATATCTCCAGCAGCAATCGTCAATGTGTATTCAGGATATTTCTGAAAGAGATGATGTTCATTACACTGATGTTCTGAGACTGCTTTCATTTATTACCTCATTCCACATCAACTCATTTATTAATCTGATATCTGCTCTCACCTCTCTGTCCAGTCCTGCAGCGTTCACTCTGATTGCTCCGGTAACAGGATTAATGATGAACATGACTGGATCTGGCAGTTCTGGATTCTGACTGAGGATGGAGTATCTGACATCAGCATTGTCAGTGTTGGGGTCATCTGCATCAGTGGCTGTGACAGTCATGAACTCAAACTCTTAAGAGAAAGAGAGAATGAAATGTTGAGAACACAGTAAAAGGAAAAACACCAATACAGACTATGATACATAGCAGATCTTGGCCTCTTCAAACCTATTTAGTACACTTATTATAGATACCTAATGGTGAAGCTTCTGGAACACTGCCAAGGAAAGGATTTTGGGTGAAGACAGGCGTATTATCATTTATATCGATCACATTGACAGTAATCTCCATGGGATCTTCCTCATCCTCACCATCAATTGCAACAGCATGGGCTTGAAGCTGGAGTTGGCAGAGAAAAATACAATTAAACAAAGAATGCCTGGACTGATTTCTGGAGTTTTATTCAATTAAAGTTGCACTATGATTATTTGGTGATTTAGAGACTGGAAGTGTTGCAATTGAATGCAATGTGTGGAAGAAGCTTTTGTGACACCAGCTGTGCTTTGGACACACTGCGTTTGTGAAGTGAACTGCTTCTCTTGCTGCCTGGTGGCCAACTTTGGGAACGTGTCAATAAACACAAGCAGAAGTTGTAGGCTATTTCTGTGCCTCAATGCAGCCTAATATTGTTTTAAAAATGTGATTTTCAGCTAGTGAAATTATTTCTCACTTCTATCACCCACTGTAATAATCTCCTGCTAGATGTGCACATGTGGCTTGACCTTGTGCGTGACACGCAGTTTCCGCAACAGCAATCTGATTGGTCTGTGCTAACCTAATTTGCATAAAGTTCGACCTACAGGAGAGAGCAGAGACAGTAGGGTGTGCATCAGCAGTTGCTGTGCTGGTTATATGTGTATCTCTCAGCACTATGATTCGCTCAGTTTCACATAAATTATCCAAACAGTTCAAAGGGGAAAGAAAAAAAGAAATTCAACACTCCCAACTTGAAATGGCATCCCGCATCCCTGTACTTTTCAATTTTATCCACAAGAGGAATCTTATGTCATTACATAATAATATGTAACATCTAATAATAATAATAATAATAATAATAATAATAATAATAAAAACAGTAATCCATAACCATATCAGCAACCTATGCAAATACGAGAGGAAAACAAACAAAAATCCAGCCAAACCAGCAGAACTAAAGTCTCTTACCACATAATTATCTTTGGCCTCTCTATCCAGGGGCCTTGTAACATAGAGCGAGCCATCCTTTCTATTTACGATGAAAAGTCCTTTTGGATCCAGGTTTGCTCCTTCACCAGTGATGCTGTACAACATCTCAGCTTCCTTAGCATAAGTGGACTTGATCTGGACACAAATAAGGTACTTGGTAAAAAAATACAATATCTGTAGCTGTAAGGACTGCAGCTTAAATTAGAGATTAATTACACACCTGCACTATAAACTTGGGGAAAGGTCCACGTTCATTCTCTGGGATGTTTATTGGTGGAATCACCCACTCTCTCTTTCGCCTCCTCAACCCCCCTGAAGACTTTGGAAACTCCAGAACTGGGAGAGCCGAGCGGGATTCACTCTGAGGAACAAACAAAGCTTAATTCTGTGATGATCCTCAGACATGCTTATGTTTTTCTCTTTAATTTGAGTTATGCAAATACAAGCAGACACTCTCCCATGTTATAAAAAAACACACACCCACTCAAACATGTGACTACTGATTTTTCTTCATGAGTAAAAAGTTCCTCACATCTCAAAGCCTTTTGTTATTTTAATCATTGCCAAAAGCAATACCACCAGATCTCTTCAGCAGTATTCAGGGAGGGAATGTTCTCCACATCATTAAGACCAAAGTAACGCAGCCGTCACAATCTAAGGCACAAATCATGGGGTTGATCACAGCTCAGCTGCCCTCCTGTAACAAGGGTTCAGTTCCCTGTCGGTGCAAGCACACCCCGCTACACCAGTAAGAGTCCTTGGGCAAGACTCCTAATACTACATTCACCTCTGGATAAAAGTGTCTGCCTGATGTAAACGTAAAGGCGTGTATCATTAAGTCATTAATGTCATTCAAAACTATTGCAAAGAAGCAACACATGAAAACACAATTATCAATAAAACTGTTGATTCCAGATACATCCACTAGAGGTCAGGCTAGCTGTAAGCATACCTGTGCAGGGCTGACTGCCTCAGTGTCTTCCTGCTGGTGATGGTGGTCAGTCCTGGCCTCATGTTCCACTCTTACAAACGCAGTGTGTTTCTTGCCCTTGGAGTCCCAAACATAGACAGAGAACACGTTATGATCCTCGTGTAGAGCGACCTGTCTCTTCAGTATCACAGTGCCATCAGCGTCCACTTGAAACCGCTTGTCTGCAGACTCAAAAACTGTCCTTGATCTTGCGCTGCAGTTGTTGAAAACAACTGGAATAAAAATGAAAGATAGAAACCTTAAAAGACAAGAACAAGATGACGTCTTGGGATGGTCAGAAAGCATGCACTCAGATAGAGATCTGGACCACCAACCTTTAGTTTGATAACATGTACAATACTTCTCATTTTTAGTCACATATTAGTCTTATGTGAGTTAAAAAGTACCTTTATACAAGAGTCTCCAGGTCAAATCTGATTAGAATCTGATGGCCATGACACCATGAGGCAAAAGACACCAGTACTTTGGCTTGAAGTGCTGTTTGAGAGCTTTGGTACTGAAGTGGTGAGTAAACATAACTGCTGATCATGAATAAGCTGCCATTGTGCTGGCAACTAAGATCATAGAGATAAATAAATCTGCTTCTTTACCGGAGTGATTCAATGGCTTCGGAAAACTCGCCAACTGAACATCCATGAGAAATAAATATTCCAAATAATATAACCTCTTTATAAGATTAAATTTTATTTCAAATTAGCAAAATACTTGAGCAACCTTCTCCTATGGGACTACTGTTTCATTTTCAGATCAAATAAATATTGTGATGCCTATAATGTATCATAAAAATGAAAAAAATGAAAGTATTGTAATGTTCTATTTTTGCCATTTTTTGCCCACCTCTATTTCCACATATTTTCAGACAAATTCACATAATGAAACAACTAAGAAAACAGTATTATGACCAAACACCCCATGGCGTCCGGACAAACCTGCATCAACATGCTTACTGGAGAAACCAAACTTTCACCTTTGGCGGTGTGAAATACCTGAGCTAAAGCTCACTTAAAAACAGTCTGAGTGCTGCGTTAGTGCTGCCGTACCTCTGCCGAGCCGTCCGCCTCTGTGAAGCTGCTCTCTGTGCACTTTGAAAATGAACAGGTCGGAATCGAATCCAGGTGAACATGGTGGCGCAAAGTAGGCAAAGCCAGGCGAAAGTACCTTCATGATGGAGAAAACGGTCTTCATTTATCTCAAACACAGTGATTTATCTTAAAAACTAGACATGTGATACAAGTTGTGAAGAGAGTGTATTTAGGCCAATTAAAAAATAAAGGCCAATGTCATGGTGCACAGGTGAAACAAAATAACTTACCTGCAGTAAAACGATCAGAACTCCCAAGCCTACATTCCTTAAAAACTCCATGTGACAAACCTACTCAAGTGGAAGTCCCAAACGTGTTTGCCCTCTGACTGAAACTCCTCTTGGGGCTAAGATGAGGAAAGGTGTGCCAGCAGACAAAGTAAGCTAGTTTTAAAATAAACAGCAGGCATTGCCTGACATACTGTTCAAGTATGGGCACAGGTCCTCTAGACTCCACCTACAAAGAGATGAACTACTCAGGAAACATCACAATAATGCTTCGCTCGACTGAGGTGTTAACCTGCAAAACCTGTTTTTGAAAGTTTAGTCTGACTAGTTTAAATGTAAGGTTCTTATCCAGCCATATGCCAAGGTACTTGTATCAGTGACCCTTTCAGCTCAGTTTAGTTCCTTTTTGGTTCAGTGTAGTTCCTTCTATTCTCCCCAGAGGGGAAATTAGTTTTACACCCAGATATACTAAACATATAACACAGCAAAATAAAAACATAACATCAGCGACGTCAACAAAAACACACAATACAACTCATACATTAACCCTTGTGTGTTGTTCAGGTCTGTGGGACTCATTTTTAGTGTTTTCCAAAAGAAAAAGTGATACATTTTTATTATTATTTTAACCTCAGATTCTTGGTCTTTGCTCATTTTCTGTGAAGAACATATAAAATGACCCATTTTCAGTGTCTTCACACTGTTCACCCCCCACACATTTATATTACACATGTGGTGTTGGGTGAACCTGCGGGGAATAAAAGTGTGTCCTTCACTCTGTTCTCCTCCTACATAGCCTGCTGTTAGTGTGTGTGTGTGTTTGTATATGTGTGTGTGTGTATGTGAGGGTGGACAACATGGACAGGCTGCTGACTGGCTACAGCTGCTAAAGGAGAACCCTACGCTGGCCACTTGTGATATATTAAACATCTGGTATTTTTACATAAGCTGTTATGGCTGTATTGATTTAATAAAACAATAATGCAGTGGGTCCACCAGACCACTGAGTAACACACACATCAACACCACACAAGGGTTAAATCCAACAATATAAAAATACATACTCAGACTGAATAGCCCTATAGCCTCGGGTATGAAAGAGTTGTTTTTTTTACTTTTTACCCTAAATCTGTGTCCAGAAATAAGAAGCTGAAACTCAAAATTAAGGGGATGGTCAGAAAAACTCAGTATCGATCTCACTTTCTGAATAATGTGACAGACGAATGCAACATTTAAGGCTGAGCTTGGATAACACCAATTATTTTGTTTGCCACTTTAAAAATGCAATCATAGAAAAAGGGTTCTTCTATTGTTATGATTCAAGCTTGTTACACTAGAAGAACCCTTTTTGGTGCTATTTAGATCCCTTTTCAAAAAGGTTCTATATAGAACCATATACAGCACATTCCCCGTAAATATGAAGAACCCTTTCACAATGCAAAGAACCCTTTAATCATGCAAAGCTCTATACAGAACCATTTTCTTTAATAAAAAACCTTTGAATAACCATCTTTTTTAAGTGTGTGGGATCAGTTGGACAGTACAATGGTCAGATGAACCTAATGGGGGTTTCCTGGATGCTTCTTAGGCCCTTTTTATAGACCCTCAACAAAGATCCAGGATTTTGTTCCCCCTCGTTGGGCAAGTGATATAATGCTGAAAACTGCTGAGAGTCTTTCTCACATTACAGTGATTGAAATCTCTCATTATATTTATCTTTGATGTATATATGTATGTTGATATAGACTGGACCTAGAACTGAACCTTGAGGATCACAAGCCAGTAGAACAGATTTATGGTGTCCCAGGGTCACACACTGGTGCCTATCAGAAAGGTCATTTTGGGCCCAATTTTTAGCTCTAGCATCAAAGCCAATATTTTGTACGCTTTTTAAAAGTAGTCAAGTCGACATATGTAATATTTATCACTTTGAGATTGTTGCAAGAATATTCAATTATTCAACCCAATTCTAGATATTTATAATTGTTTTAGGTCATTTAAAGCAGCAAAAATATATTCCATTCCATTGGCAGATAATTTTGCTTGTTTTAACATGATTTCTTGAATCAAACAAAAGTTCTCCTGAAACAAGCAAAAATATCTGCCAATGGAATAAAATCATGTCAATTTCGTGGTCTAGAAGTAGCTTATATGTCTTATAAAATCTGTGTGTCATTATGAGACTGTTGTATTTGAGTTTTTACACATTTTCATTGGTTTTAAGTAATTTTATCGTAGTAGATTATTTAGTTTGTTACAAACGCTACATCTTCAAAGTTATCAAAAAAATAAAAAAAAATCAATGGAGTAAAATAATTTCACTAGATAAAATGTTTACAATAAGTAAAAAGATCTAGAAATAGGCTAAATAATCTCTAATCTAATATTAGATATACTGGCTACCCTTTAAGGACCCTGTGTTCTACATTTTTGTGTGTGTGACTATTTAAGAAAATCAGTCATAATTCATGTCTACATTACCGTTTACCAACTTCTCTTTATCCCTCAGAATTTAACAGGCTGTATTTGATTACTGTGATTAATGTATGTAAATGAAGCATCTTCTGATTGGCTGTATTATGCCTCATTCAAAAAAAGGTCCAGGCTGAAACATTCCTTATGACTTCAGCATGAAGGGTGGGGCTATACTGCTGCATTGACTGAATATAGGATGTATGTAAATGAGTTGGATTTTGAAGAACTGTGAATTTAACATGGTCTGTTTTTGCAGTTTAGTTTCCACATATGGACTGTATTAACTGGGGAAAGAACAGAATGTTTTGAAACTTGAATCATGTTTACGTACATCTATCAGTAAAGAGAGAAAAAATGGGCCCTTTAAGATAATTTCATTTGCTAAGGTTTCAGTTTACAGGATAGACCTGTGACGCTGTTTGTTGTGTCACAAACTGAACTCAGTGCTCACTTTCAGTCTTTAAACCTGGATCCACATAACACTTCAGTTCCTAAGTTTGAACACCCCAGGTCAAATTACATTGTTTAAGTTACTAAGTGAAAATAAGTTAATACATCCTCTGAAGAGAACACAGTTAAATATGACATTTTTCTGCAAATTTTACTGCTTAAAATAAAACATTTAACATTACTATGTGTTTGCCAGTGGTGGACAGTAACTAAGTAAATGTAATTCATTACTGTACTTAAGTAGTTTTTCGTGTATCTGTACTTTACTGATGTATTTCCATTCTGGGTGACTTTTTACCTTCACTCTGCTACATTTCAAAGTCAAATATCTCACTTTTTACTTCACTACATTATATTAAATCTGTCGTTCCTTTTGGTTTCATGTGTGTATAAAAACGTAACATGTCAAAACGAAAGAAGCGCAAAGCAAGATCACCAATCAGGGCCCAGCACGCACTTTGTTTTGAGCTTGTTTTGACTTGTTGGACATACCGACCCAGTGCAGCACACAGTTCAAGGTGAGTGCAGCAGCATAACATTTTGGGAGTCTCTATTCAACATAAATGATGGAACTAACTTAACTTTGTGTAAATAAACCACAATATAGAAATATGTACACATATGCAGTTGTGACTGACGTGTTTTTTTTCTGAATTTATACAAACACTATTTCATTTTTTAGTAAATCAGTTTGTGCTAGTTTATGTGAACAGAGACCTACAGATGCAGTTTAGTAAAGGAAAACTCATTTGTGAATCTGAGTTTAAAGCAAGTTTTTATTAAACTTAAACTTGCAAATAAATCTTAAACTGAAACTTTGTTTGTTTGCAAAAAGTTTCAGAGCCACTCAGTTCTACCTAATGGAAATTGTTTGCATTCAGTGTTTCGTGCTTATGATAATTTTAATAGACATCAGCGTCAGACTAATTAATCACATTCTATTAAAAGATTAATAATTTAATATTTTAGGAGTATTTTCACCTAAAATGAGTTAATGAAGCAGAGTCTTGTTATAAAAATGATAATAGGACATTAGAGCCATAATTAATCTTTTAGTACTTTTACTTTTGATACTTAAGTACATTTGAAGGCAAATACTTTTGTACTTTTACTCAAGTGGAGATCTAAAGGGAGGAACTTCTACTTTTACTGGAGTAATATTTTACCTTGGGTATCTCTACTTTAACTCAAGTACATAATTTGTGTACTTCGCCCACCACTGGTGTTTGCACATTACAATGCGTAAAAGTATGTTCTCTGTTGAGAGTTTGTTCTTACTTTTACTTACAATATCAACAAAACATGATTTCACAAGGTGCCCAAACTTTGCATTTTTCTATCTTATTCTCAGCGAGGCTGTGATACACTTTTGCAGCTCTGATATGAGGGGTATTCGCAAATCCAAAACACTTCACAAAGGTAGATACACAAACGCTTGATGCTCCCAGGAGAGTGTGATGCAACGCTGCATGTTCTGTGAACTTCAAAACACTTTATCTTGTCATCATGACATCAACAGTCCAGCTCTGTGCACCCTAGACAGTTTCACTGCAATCATGATTAACACAGCTTCCAGATTTTTACATTCTTAAGCCGCTGCCACACCCAACGTGAGTTAAATCTGCCTGGTGAGAAAGACAATTCAGTTGAAAGTGAAAGGACACCAGAGCACAAGAACAGAGTTTGCGTTCATCTAGGTCAGAGGTCGGCAACGTGCGGCTCTTTTACTGCCCTGTTGTGGTTTTAACCTTTAACCCTATAGGATGGTGCACAGACTGCTGGTCATCACAGCAACGCAGACAACAATCTCGCCTAGCTAGTAGCTAACGAAATGGCAAAGAGAGAGATTTAAGAGGAACATTGATAATTTGGTGACGAATGGACTTATTTGCTTTTATAATCACTCCAACTGGTTTCCTGATACGTTTAATCTGCATTGAGAAACTATCAAACACTAAAAAGTCATGAAGCTGAAGTCAGTTTCTTGTTCAAATTTTCCCGTTCCACCTTAAATGGTTCAGCAGTTACATTCTAGCACCTCAGGCCCCATTTAAGGTGGAACTAAAAAAAGCGAAAAATAAGCCATCGAATGAGAAGCTTCAGCCTCATGAAAAGTCGAACTTTAGTAAACATTTCACAAGAAACTATTCTACTTTTGTGGAAAGGCGGCTATAGCTGAGCTAAAGCTTAAAGCAAAGTAAGTCTCTGTTTTTGTTTATCTTATATTTTTCAACCAAGCAGCTGCATCCAAGCCTTACATCACCAAGCAGAATGCAAAGCGTCTAATGCAGTG